TAAGTAAAACTTCTTTACGCACACTTGACTTGGGGAGTAAGCTGGTGAATGCGTGAAGTCAGCGTTACGGCAAGTGTGATCGGGCGAAGCGAACGAAAGTTAAGAGGGAGATATAAGTTAGTGAAGATATAAAGAGAGATAGTTACGTTTCGTATAATACTGTAGGGGCAAGAGAGAGCGGTGCGAGCACACTTTTTCTTTCTCTCTTAGCCAAGAAGGTTTACTTGAGTCGTGTGGCACACTCGTTTTTGTTTTAATGGTGATGGGTCGTATCCCTTAGGTTCTTTGGCTCCTTGAGGATTCAGAAGATAGCAGTATGAGGTGTTTCCACTAAAAACCACCCCGACGGCTGGCCTAAGGCACCCTATTCTGGGGAGGACCCGGACCATGTGATTTCAGGTCCAGATCCCCACTGCACCTAACTCAACCCTATCCCAGGGTAAGCAAGTGGCTTCCCCTGCCTATTAGCCTATCAGTAAATGTTGCGGCTCATACTGCCGCAGACGTCTTCTTCGCTAGGGATCGGCCCTCTCTCGATGCCGCTCAGCGGTCTCTTTCTGAAGCATTACAAGTTCTCAGAAAAAGACCACTGCGCCCAAGCCCTCCTCACCTGCCATCATGACAGCAAAGATTGCCGGCGGGGACTGGTCATATCCACCTGGATATAAAAAGGCAGGAAACGTGCCAGGACCGTCGCTGCGTCTGACGAAATGGTGCATTAACCTCGTACGATTCTAATGGTCGCTACCCGCTTCGCTTAATTGAGGAGGCCGATAGGTGCTTGGCCCATATCGGTGCTCCGTAGAGGGCCATGGATCGTGTCACCGCACAGTAAAGGCGTCGAACTTCCTCCCGCGGTCTCCCAAGGTTGGGCAAAAGCCTCTGTAGGGAGCCCGCCACCCCGCAAACTAGGGAGAACTGCTACTCGAAGTTCCAGCGGCTGTCTAGGGTAAGGCTGAAATATTTGATGTTCGGGCCGACCTTGACCTCTGATCCCTCCATTCTAATAGCGAGCTGGTGGGAACTGAACCTCTGCGTTTCCTGTGGAACTACAGGGCTTCCGTCTTATGAGGTGCAGCCCTTAGACCCAGGCCGCTGATCTTTTGGACGACACATGCTACCTCTAATTTGCCGAGCTCCAGTACCTACTGGAAGCCATGCCCCATACCCAGTACCAAAGTGTCGTCCGCCCTGCAGACGCAGAGCATACGCGTTCGATCACGTACATACCTGTCGGAAGCCAAATTGGTTGTCTGTTAGGTTGGGACCCACTCGCGATAGGTGCTGGTTGATCAAGCAGGCATATCGGTGGGGAACACCGGGGGAGAATCTGCAGCCCTGCCATGTTTCAGGAGAAGTATAAGTCTGGCTTCCTTCCAGCTGGAAGGGAATACGCTATTACGGAGGCAGCTGGTAAACAGCTGCTTCAGCTTATTCCCTAAGGCCGCCAAAGCGCACACCCATGCTTGGCCCGGAATCCCATCAGGGCCCGGGGCGGTGTTGCGGGCGTTACAGATCACGGCTCGATCCAGCTCTTCCTCCGTCACGTCAAAGTAGTCGGACCACGTAACCGGGTCTGACGGTGACGGGGGGGCTTGACTATCTCGATCCCTAGGGAAGAGGGTATCTACCACTCCTCCTACAAACTCAGTACGGCGAATTTGTCAGCCAAAGCGGAAAGACCTCACGAGGGATCTGTAACAACAGAGCCACGGTCATGGCTCGCTTGGTGCGGAGTCCACCTGCGATGCCGAGATCACCAAAGTTAATATTGGTCTTAGTGACCTCAAATAGCTTGGCTATCGTCGTCTCTGAGCCAAGGGGCACGGAGACCCTGACAGACGCAGCTTTGGGAGGCCTTGGCACGGCTGTTTTTTTAGGAGGTTTTCTGGTGAGGCTTTGGGCGGTGGAGTTTTACACGTCCTTTTGTATAGGAGGCTATTTGGGAGCGGAGTGCTTCGTTCTCTCGGTCTAACCTGCGTTTGTCAGGACTGATGTGTCAGCTCTCCTGAGAAGTTCCGACACACCAGCCCTGACGATGCCGACGGTAATTGCATCCTCCTTAACTCTTACTATTAATTTTATTTTTTCTATAACTACAACTAACTTGCACATTTCAATTAGGCATTATAACCAGTCAGTTTGGTCGCATGGGTTTTTTTACACCTGACCCTTAGACCCCGACATAGTCATTACCATTGCCCAAGGTTTTCTACTATTGTAACAATTGAAAAAAAAAACTTTTAATGTTCTTTGCTCGCATTTGAAATCACCGAAAAATATTCACAAATTAATCATAATATAAATAGGCACATGCTAATGCGAAAAAGTCACAGGTCAAACCTAAGTATGAAATAACTCGTTCAGTATCACATTAATATTGTAAATACACTTGATCTTTACCCCTATTTTAAATTCACAACAGTCATTTAAAGTAAGAACTCAACGTTATGGTTCAAGCTAATTCATTAGGGCTGCGTCATTATGTACTTTAGTGTCGCTTTTTCTTTCTTACTTTCTTACTTATTAAGAACCTATATTTTTACTTCCGACTTCAAAAAGGAGGAGATTATCAATTCAGATGTTTATATTGCATTTTTTCATGTATGTTCGGGCATAACTCGGTCATGTATAGGAGGATTTTCAAAATTCTTTTTTTGTTTGAAAGGGGTATGTCCGAAATGGTCCTATTTAAATTTCGTATAGATCTGATGATGAGTTTCGGAGACAGACAACGGAACTCTTCAAAAAGGGACGGCAAATCAACCGAGATTGCTGCTAGGTTTTTAGTACTCATTGTTAGTATTGTTTGAAGTCGATTCAACTTTTTCTTAAAGGGGTTTATGTTGTTTCAATATTTTAATCTATGAACGCGCCCGCTTATTGCAAATATACTACTAGCATGAGCCAAGTTATGTCTAAATCTATACTAATATTATAAAGCTGAAGAGTTTGTTTATTTGTTTGTTTGTTTGAACGCGCTAATCTCAGGAGCTACTGGTCCGATTTAAAAAATTCTTTCAGTGTTAGTTAGCCCATTTATCGAGGAAGGCTATAGGCTATATATCATCACGCTAAGACCAATAGGAGCGGAGCACCAATGAAGAATGTTTCAAAAACTGAGAAAATTTATTACTATTGAGAGACGCAGACGAAGTTGCGCGGGTCAGCTAGTATATAATAATTTTCCCCCGTTTTTGCAACTTTTTTATTGATAATCCGCTCCTATTAATCGTAGCGTGGTGGTTTATACCTTATAGCCTTCCTCAATAAATGGGGTATCTAACACTGAATGATTTTTTTTAATCGGACCAGTAGTTCCTGAGATTAGCGCGTTCATCCAAACAAACAAACTTTTCAGTTTTATAATATTAGTATAGATATTTAGATTACCAAATAGTAGTACTTAGATGTTATGTAAATTGAATTAAAAAGGTCTATATATGTTTTACTCATCCTCGTTTTATAACATTACGAAAGCGTAATATTAGCGTCCTCAATTAGTCAAAACAATAAAATCTGTTGTTTTATTTCGAAGGCTCGTTTCAAGACTCATTTACCATTGTGTTTTAGGGGTAATCAATGTCATATACAGTGTGCTAAAAAATAATATTATTAAAATTAACTAAAACACGCTTCTCATTCACGTACGTATTGGTGCCTTGCTACTTGGCACTTTGAGCGACCGCTCCACCGTGTCTACCTATGGAACAGCGTTAACTGTATGTATCCACAGCACATCAGTGTTCTGATTGTAGAATGATTCAATTAGTAGCTATATAATGAGTCCCAACCCGCCTCTTAAAACCAGTTACACACCTTTTATTTATTCTTTTTTTTTTCGTGCGGAAAGCCCCTCGGATACCACCAGTTACACACCTAAGCCTAAACGGCATTATTGAAAAAAAAATTTTTTTGTAAATAAGGCCATGACTGAAAAGTATTGGTCTTAGTATCCATTCGACATACGTACATATAATAATAATATTTCGGACATTTGACACACAACGCCATCTAGTTTCAAACTAAGCAGAGCTTGTATTATGAAAGCTAGATTGACTGATAAAATACTTATACACTTTTTTTGTAAATACGTACTTATTATATATAAAAAAAAAAAAAAAAAACACCCAAACTTCGAAACAAATATTCGCAGATCATATACAAATATTTGGTACAACCCGAGAATCGAACCCGAGACCACTGCACCACGGAGGCAGTAATAGGTATATACTTTAGCAGCAAAATTTTAGTCACAAATATAATAATTAATCTTATACAACCTCGAAATGCTAAGAAAATACATTAGAGAGTTTACGCTTTCACACAATTTACACTAAAACGATAGATGAGCTTATTATACAATTTACAATAATTACATTTTTATTTAATTTACAATTTATTAGTAGACATCGGTCCTACCTCTAATGTTAGGTTAGGATATTATATATTTACATACAACATCACAACCTAACATTAGAAGTACTGTTCATGTGCTGACGAATTAAGAATAAGGAGCGTCACCACCCCTATTCATCCCGTGGGTGTCATAAGAGTCGACTAAGGGAGCCTTCTTCCTGAAAAGAGAAGGAAAACTTGAAAAAGTCCTAAACCAACCCGTCTGACGATCGCGGTATAGTAAGCCTAAACCTCCTTTCTAAGGATTGGCCTATATGTGTGGATGTCCAGTAGTAGACTGTTATTATTGATGATTGATAATAATTTCATAGATCGGCGCGAGAACTTTATTTGCGTGATAAACAGTTACCTTGTAGTTAGGACAACTTTTACTAAATGGCGTAGTATGTTTAGATGTATGTCACGCTATATTATAATGTAAAAGTTATAATTTACCACCTATTTCAATGAAATGAGTTTATGGCAATATGTGAATGTACCCTTACGTTAAAGTTAACGTCATAACGTTGGCTTGTAGCCGAAATCGGTTTATGACACAACAGAACACATGTTTAGCCGTTGACAAGGTGTTTCATAAAATTATGTCGGTCATTTTAAGAGGTGCAGTGAAATTGTATTATTATTTAAATGACGAAATCCGAGGTAAATATTGCGAATATTAACGAAACAAAACAAATATAAACTCTTTATTAACCCCCTAAGGATGTAAAAATTTAACATATGTCTTTGTCTGTATATCTGTGTGTCTGTTTGTGGCGTTAAAACTTTCTAAACGGATGGACCTATTTCATTAATTTTCTTTTCGTTTAAAATTGACTTCATGTTCAAATCAAAAACTCTTTTCTAATCGTATTAGGAATTAAGTGTTATTTTATATTGATACGTGTCTAAACAATAGAAACTACTTAAAATAATATGAAAATACCTTAAAAGGTACCTAGTTTAATACGTGGCGTGTAAACAATGAAAACCACACCTATTCGATTCACGAAGGAGTAGCATTAACAGAAAAGAGCATTATCTCCAACGTGCCTTTGCAAATACTAAAATGTATTAAACGCTAGGAAAATTAAATGTTATTAGGGCTGAATGTCCTCCATAAAGCATAAAATGAATCCCATAGAGGTCTGATTTTTTAGAAGCAGTTTCAGCCTTTTATAAATTGTGATAATAATATAATATAATTAAATAATTTATAATTATAATTTATTAGTAAAACAAACGTACATAACGAAAAAATATATTCTCAGATAGTTTTAAAGAATGTTTCGTACTCAGTATTTACACCTAACTAGCAAAAAATATAAAAATATTTTTACTAGGTAGATACTTATATAATATTTATAAAACACGATAAAAGACCTATTTAATCTAATGTAATTAAGGATTGAACATTCTTATTTACATTGCTACGACATAACAAGGGCAACACAAGTGTATGTAAAAAGGAAGTTTTAATAGATACTAACAATTTTAAACGATTACATTCTCGTGTGGTGACGTATTAAGAATACGGAGTGTCACCAGCTTACCGCCCCTATTCATTTCCGACAGTAAGACGCGACTGAGAAAGCAAAGTACGCAGGACAACAGCACTGCAGAAGGAAAACTCGACACAAACCCCACACTAAGCCGTCTGGCCAGCGTGGTATAGTAGACCAAAACCTCCTTTAAGGGGAGTCCTATGTCAAGCAGTGAACTATTATGGGCTGTTGCTGTATGATGTGACACTCCTGTGTGGTCATAATAAAAACTAGCTGAAACTCTTTACAAATGTAACACAGTGCGCTTACGTAAAATAAAATCTAGAAAAGGGTAGGGAGATGAACACTTTGCTAAAAATACTGAGTAATTAAAATATTATAAAATTATAAGAATTCATAATTAAATTACTGAGTGACAAATCTATCTTTTTTATAAGTTCATGACGCTAAGTTTAAACAATTAAAACAAGTGAAACCATTTCTTTCATCAATATGTGTAATATTATTTAAAGTCACGTGGAATTTGGCTGTTACGTTCTAAAAACTTAGTTGACTGGAAAAGCTAATTGATGGTGATAAAATATACACAATAGGTCATTCACAATTTTAATATTTAAAAACTACTTAACAGCTATAGCGAGTGTAATAGCAGTCGAGACACCTAGCTTGTGCAACTGGAGTCCAAGAGTCCTAACATTTACAAGCAGCATATTGTTTTTTTTTTTATCTTATTAGATACGAGAACACAGGACTGGTTCTTAATAAGATCGCCATGGCCGGGGTTAGCCTTACTTACATTGTACCTGCTGATGGTGCTCCGATGGTTGCCAGACTACATGAAGAACCGACCTGCGTATGATTTACGAAGCATAATGGCAGTATATAACGCCAGTCAGATGATCGGTTGCATCTATATAGCTTATAAGGTAATTCCCTTTTTAAATGTAGATCAACCTGAACGTTAAGACGTTATAACGTTTTCAGACTTGACATTCCATCTTCGATGGCTTCAAATGTTAATGACCTAAAGGTACGCCAAGGAGAGGCAAGAAAGAGTTGCCTCTCTCTGCCACTGGATTTGGTATAACAAAAGCCATATTATAACATTCATCACAACAGTCTAGTTGTCAAACATCGGAGAAGCAGATTTTGTAGTTCAATATTTAAAGTCAGAGTCGGAGCAGCAAAAAGTACCGACTTAAATAAAAGCATTCCGAAAGAGTAATCAATATACAGCGTTATAAAAATGGTTTATAACGCTGTATATTGATTACTCTTTCGATCATTCATCATCTCAAACAGTTGTAATTAAATTTTTTGCAAAGAATATGATTGATTGTATATAGTAAGGTATTTGCTATTTTCCACTGTCATAATATTAAATGAATATTTGTGAAATCATTGAAATTTTAACTTTTCAAATAAAGTATTTTTTTAACTGTTAAGGTATTCACTTTTTTTTTTAAGTACCAACAAATCCGACTTTTGTAACCGACTAATAAGCCCGTCGGCTGGTAGGCCAAATTTATAGTCGAGCCATCACTATCTATCACATTATTAGTAGTAGTATGTATTGTTCGGATAATTTATTGCTTCGGATTGTTAGTAGTATGTGTTGGCGCTAGGCCAAAGTTACCACTTTCGCAGACCACGTTAAAAACGTTATAAGCGTGTCTAGGTGGTGACCTAGGAAGAATCTTCCCAGTTCGACCACATAGCGAGTGAACCAGTGACCGACAAATTCTGATATTTGGCGACAAAATTCGACAAATTAGCGACTAACTTTTTGTGTTATCAAATCCATGATGGTTGCCAAGGCAGTGTCTGTGACACAGCGAGTGAGGGTACCGGAGGCCCAATCCCCCACCCTACATTCGAGGAGGGGGATGGAGGTATTCAAAGGGTGGCAACGCATTTATGTCTCTCCCTGTCCATCGACGGCGGTAGTCACTATCAGTTGATTCGTTCCCTCGTTTGTCCTCTATAACACAAAAAAGTTAAGAGGTCAAGAAACGTTAAAATAAGACTTAACGACAATCAGGTCATTTTAATTTTAAGCGACTCATTTTCTTTTGTTTCCAGGGCCTATCATTAGGATGGTTGAATCACTACTCTCTACTGTGTCAAGGTTTAGATAATGGTCCAAATGCGCTTGAATACGCGTGGACTGTGTGCTATGGATACTTCGTTATGAAGCTTATTGATCTCCTAGATACGGTAACGCAGACATTGATTATTGAATATTATCCATATAACGTAGGCAAAATATATAATAATACACATATCTTCTCAAAAACAGTAGTCAGACACCTCTTCAAAATAAATATATGTGCACATGTCTCATGATTATTGAATAATATCTATTTTTAACGGCATTCAAAAGAAAAGGAGGCTTTCAATTAGACTGTTTTATTTTTCTCCGTCAATTTTTGAGTTATTTTCAAAATTCTGTACCTTCTAAATGACCTATTATTTTGATGCTTATAGCTCTTACTATAACAAGAAAACAATAACCTCTAGTTGCTTTTTACAATACTTTATAGCACTTTGTTTCAGATATTCTTTGTTTTAAGAAAAAAACATAATCAAGTAACATTTCTACACGTTTACCATCACTGGGGCATGGTAGCGGTGTCCTGGGGCATTGTGAAATGGGTTCCAGGTACGTATGTAAACATTTTTAGAATCCAATGTTTTCTGAAAGTAGGCTTACAAAAACTTTCCCAACTTCCTAATTTACAGTAACAGGTAGCCTTGGCCCCGTCGATCCCGTCAAAACCATAGAGGCAATCCATAAATATCACCTAGTTAGGACTTTTCTCTACACAGGTTCAGCTCTTTATCTTTACATAGTGTAAATGAAGTTGCTTTTTTTTCTTGTACGCTTAGATCTTTTAAACTACGTAATATATTTTAATTCGGTTATCACCAATAGATAGTGAATCAAGAGGCGGGTTTTATGCATGTACGAGTATTATAGCATTTTAGTAGATGAAAGCCGATAAATTTAAAGATTTGTAATGTGAAGTAAAAACCTTGTTTTTGTGCGCTTACCCTGTAAACGCTGCCTAAACCTTACGAGATAGATCAAAATAATGTACTACAGAATTGTATATCTTAATACGATCTACAAAAAAGGCCGCAATTGTATATGTCTGTCTCCTGTTGTCCTATAGTATAGTGTAGTCATAAAAATAGTATAATTAACTACTTCACACTGACACCACATTACCTAGTAGTATCAACATTGCACCCTTGCGGAGCCGGGGCGGATCGCTAGTTAAGTATATTAATGAGTTTATTACTATAAAATACCTATATCTTATTCATACCTTTAATGGATAAAGCATAATACATGCTAAGTATATTCATTCAATTTTTATTAAATAAATTATGACAACTTCAGGAATGAGTAGACATGTTAATTACGAGTATGTTTGTAATAATTATCTTGTCACTACAATTACGCAAATATTATATTTATAATTTTATATAAAAACCTTGATTGATATAAAAAAAACCCATAACTCCATGATTGATTTAGATGGCATTCCTACATGAGACGGGTCACTTTATCATTCTATGCACTGCTATGTACCTACAGTGAATCCACCCTTCTATCTAAAATGCAGTATTGTACAATAAATCACATCACATCACAGCCTATAGTCCACTGCTGAACATAGGCCTCTCCTTAGAAAGGAGGTTTTGGGCTACTATGCCACGCTAGCCAGACGGGTTGGTATAGGGTTTGTGTCAAGTTTTCCTTCTCTCTGCAGTGCTGTTGTCCTGCGTGGTTTCCTCCCTTAGTCGCCTCTTACGACACCCACGGGATGAATAGGGGTGGTGACACTCTGTATTCTTAATCGGTCACCACACGGACCTACAATACATAAGTACAATAAATACGTCGGGGCAAGTAAACCATTTTAGGATTCTTTTAGAGAAACCGTATGATCTTAATAGCTCTTGTCACACCTCTTTTTAAACCCAATACATAATATATTTCTTCTTTTGACTATACAATTTTAGGAGGCCACGTGACATCTTTGATAATATTAAACTCCATTGTCCATTTTGTAATGTACGGCTACTACTTGATGACTTCACTTGATGGAACGAACAGACAAGCACTCAGGAGATGGAAAAAACATATCACACAGATACAAATAGTAAGTGGTTATTATTCTTTGCCAACTGCGTTAAAAATAAAATAGCTATCAAGTAGGGAAAAGCTGCATTGTCAATCCAAGTAAGGAATACTGACAATGCGATTCCCTGACTAAATTATTTAAATATTAAGTATTCTAGATACGGTGTGGAAATGTGTTACAATTATAATTTTTTTTTTCGCTGAGACGGTGGTGCAGTGGTAGAGTATGCGACTGCTGTGCTGAGGTCTTGGGTTCGATTCCCGGGTCGGACCAAATTTTTGTATGATCTGTAAATATTTGTTTCGGTGCTTGTATGTATCTATAAAATGTATGTATTCACAAAAAAAAGTATACAGGTATTCTATCAGTCAATCTAGTTTTGATAATATGAGCCCTGGTTAGTTTGAAACTAGATGGAGTTGTGTGTCAGATGTCCGAAATATTAGTATTATTATAATCATTGTAATCAAATTAAGAAAGTCAGTTTCAATATTTCTAAATATCTTTATCATAACTTACACATTGATTTGTGTTGTATTTTTGGTTGTGTGTAATAATTCATACCAAATCACTACATTATATTAAAGTTCCATTCTTGTACTATTTAACGATATTAGTAAAAAAATTGCCGATTTTTGATATGCCGTTGTTCTACCGTTTTCCATAGTGCATAGTATAAACGAATTGCGTACATTTCTAACTTTGCTTATTTCGGATGACTAGAAAAGTTAGGTGGTAGAATCCACCTCTTAGGAAGTCTATCTTGCTATTACCATGAGCTAGTAAAGTATTACATGTGGAATATGTTTTTTTCAGTTCCAGTTCGCTATGCTGTTTGTACACCATTTTGCAATGCTCTTGAAGCGAGAATGCGCCTTCCCCAGTCCACCAGCCTACATTCTGTTGCCGCAGAACTTTTTCATGCTCTTGCTTTTTTCTGATTTCTATTACCGATCATATTTCAAGTCTAAGAAACAGTAAAATTTGTAACCAATAAAATATGAGAGTACATTAATAAAATATTTTGATTTTCCGTAGTATTTTTTTAAAACTAACCTATCAAAACGTCAATTTATAATATTTCTGACTTATTCAAAATAATAATTAATATTATAGTAGGTATACCTAGTGTAATTTTGATGTTTAATTCAGGAAGTATGCAGGTGTCAAAGAAACTAACGACAACTAACTTTGTATAATGTCTTACGAAGATAGTCAAATTCATCATCAAAAACCATATTTCAGTTATGTCTGGCAGAGTAAGGTAGACTATCTAGATAATTAAGTCACTTTGACGCAGTGCTGACAAGGATACTCTTATAATGGTGTATAAAGCGTTGCCTCAATCACTATTGTACTATTGTGTTCTAGCTTGAGGAGGAGCGGTAAAATCTAAAATGATCGAACTCGAAAGAGCCCAACGCGCAGTTCTGAAAATGATGCTCAAAAAACCATTTCGCTTTCCTACCGATAATCTGTATAGGGAATATAAAGTACTCAGAGTTCGACAGATTTTATTCTGAAAGCTAGCATGACAAAACAGAAGTTGGTCATTAACTCTCCAGAACACCTCCGTCTCTCTAGCCGTCGTATTTTTCCGAATACCAGTTTCTAACATGAAGACAACTTTCATAAAACATTTGCCTATCTTCCTTCTTCCGCACATCTACAACCAGGTGTGTAGAAAATTATCACAAATCATAGACCTACCAACAAGAAAAATCAAACCTATCATAGAGAACTAGCTTGTGAACCTCAACTATCAGGAGACAGAAAATCTAATACAAACTGTCAGCTGATCCCCCCTCCCCTTTATCTTCAATTCCCACAAATCACATACACTTTTTACACTACTACATTAAATCATTCACGTAGCACACACACAAACACACAAACACTTTGCCTAGTTATGTAATTATCATTTTCCTTAAAAACATTAAAATCCGTAACACTTACGATCTTGTCTTGGAATAAATATGTTACTATATTCTACATAATATAGTGATATGGTATCTATTGTACCTGCTGAACCGAAACTGAAGTGTGAAACTGTATCAAACTGTATGACACATGTATCTTTGGCCTCTGCGATACTAGCCTCGAGCTTAGTGCTGCGGCCGCTGTAAAACTTATTATATCACATACCTTTTTGAAATAAATTTATTCTATTCTTATTCTAAATCTAAGTGTTAATAGAATCCAATAAGAACATTCATAATTTAAGACAACAAACATATTTATAGACACAGGGGTATAAGCGAAACCTCTGACTACAGAAAACCACGGAGTACCCGCTTTTTTTCAAGCGTCAAAATTCAAGATACTTAATATTAAAAACAAAGAAAATTGAGATAAAGTAATTAGAAAGCAAATTATGCAACAGTTGACAGTACCTACTATTCGGCAGCTGCTCACATAGTTAGGCGTTTAGTGTTCATAATAGTGTTTTATCTAACTCTTTGCTTCTTGACCTTAATTGTGGAGCCAATCAACACAACGTCCTCATTTAAAACGCTTGATCAACATGATATTGTTTTCAAATTATACTATTTTAATCAGTATTTCAATTAATTACGTATGAAAACACACGCTTTAACACGCCTGAGAAAATGCAAAGTACGTAAACTAAATAAGTTGAACTAACAATAACGTTTTAGAAAATTGGTATCTAGTGTATAAAGTGTTTTCTTTTTGTAAATAAGTGAAATGTCTTAAAGTGAGAGAAGGATTTATAACAATAATTCTTGTTATTGAGATAGATAGTTTTTTCTCTCATCCTTTAACAATATTTTTTATTCTAGTTTCACATTATCACATTGCGACAGTGTCTACAGTCGGTCTAATTGGAAGTTTTTACGTCTATTATCTTTATAAGGAGAAATTCAAAAAAAGGATAAACTTGGCTCAAGAATGGGTGCATATTGGTCATTTAAAACAAATGTACGCGTACCCTATAAAGTCATGTGCGCCAATTTTATTGAATCAAGCTGAGTGCTCGCCGATGGGGTTAAGAAACGGTTGGATCCGAGACCGGTATGTAATGACTTAAAGATTTCTTTGGGTTTTTCAGGTAATTGAGTCAGGTTAATTTTTATGTTCTTCCCTAAAATAAACCAGCAGACGCCAGCAGTATTTACTGAGTATTTATAATACTCTCTTATTGTAAATTATCACTCCTTTATACTACGCTCCTGAGCATTGGCTCATTTAGTGATAATTTGCATGTAAATGCGCAACCAAATATAAGCCTTTTTTTACGAGTGAAAACCGCACGGTTTGCGGCAGGGCGGTGTGTCGGAGGAATATAACCGACTAAAACCACACAGAAAGATCGGGAGCAGTTTTTATTAACCATAGTTATACATTCAAATATAGGCCGCCCTAGCCCTTGATCAGTAGATCGAAATTTTCTTACAACGCTCTTTTTTAGTTTCATTCATAATTAATTTTAATTTGTAAATATCAATACTCATTGGATTTAATTTATGTTTATGTACATCTAATTATATTATGGTACTACTGATTCTTTACTATTAGAAAAGTTATTTTCTTTGTTAATCTTCATATTACTCAGTCACTAAGTAATATTTATGTACTTAATATTTATTGTCTAAAAATATTTATTGATATTAATCGAAACACAAAAATATTTTTGACAGAGTACTGATGGTTGTGGATGCAGGGAACAACACTTTTGTAACAGCCAAAGTTTATCCAGAACTACTAAAGGTAAAAACTTCTCTTAAAAGAGCTCTCTTGAAATTGGAACATCCTGATATGGAAACAATTGAAGTTAATTTAGCCGAGGTGGGCATAACATTTTTTTATTATCAATATTTATTTGGCAAAAAGAAAGTTTATAGGTAGAACAACGTCAATTAAGAATGAACTAGAATATAAAATTATATCATATACAAAATCCTTATAATCTTTGTCAAAATAAAAATTAGTACATAGTAAGTTAATTTCAGGTAGTGGTAACTCAACAACCTTATCAAATAGCTATTTGGAATACCCCCATGCCAATTTATGACTGTGGCCAGCAAGTTAATAAATGGTTCACAAAGTAAGTGGTTTTTTGTCTATTACATAGATAATAATAATACATAATATAATATTCTACTACATTCACACAAAGCCATCTAGTCCCAAACTAAGCAGAGCTTGTACTATGGGAACTTATACTAGACAACCGATATAAATACATATATACTTTCTTTTTTGTAAATACATACATATTACAGTCCGTTACACAAACCACTTCGCCATCGGGTCGTTAATAGATAATATTAAGTAGGTTATAATTTATTATCACTTATCAGTGTCTATTTTTACCGGTCTTTAAACAAGTGTATCAAATTAGATCATCGTTCTTTCCTAGATAATAAAATTATAATTATCTAAATAAATATTTAATCAGTGCACAGCAGTTTTCTCAATCTATGTATAAATATATGTATATATATACATGACTAGATGGCGCTAGTTTTATTGCAGTCACCTTTTTTTCAGTTAATACTATCCTTCAAAAGACAGCTGTTAGAATTTCATGATATTCTATTCATTAGTTTGTGAGTTATTGTGCTAAGAGTGACGCTATTTTTGTTATTTTCAAAACAATGGATCAAAAACAATTTCGTGTTTTAATTTTACACTGCTGCACTGCTTCTTGATGGGAAAAAATACCGTTCAAGCGAAGCAATGGCTTGAAAAGTGTTATGGGGACACCGCTCCATCAGAAACAACAATAAAACGTTGGTTTGCTGACTTCAAACGTGGTCGTAGAGACACCGATGATGCAGAACGCAATGGACGTCCAAATGAGGCGGTAACATCAGAAAACATAAAAAAAAACACAAAATCGTTTTGAATGATCGAAAAGTGAAGTTGCGTGAGTTAGCTGACATCTTAAAGATATCAAAAGAACGTGTTGGCTTTATATTGCATGAGCATTTGACTATGAGAAATCTCTGTTCAAAGTGGGTGCCGCGTTTACTCACTGTTGACCAAAAACGAGAACGTGTTGATGATTCTGAGCAGTGTTTGGCCATGTTTAAACGTAACAAACCGGAATTTTTGCGTCGATATGTGACAATGGATGAAACATGGATCCATCACTTCACTCAAGAATCAAAACGATCGTCATCTGAGTGGACAGCAACTGGTGAACCTCGTCAAAAGCGCCCGAAAGCACAACAATCGGCTGGAAAGGTTATGGCCTCGGTATTTTGGGATGTGCGTGGTGTAATATTCATCGACTATCTTGAGAAAGGAAATACCATTAACAGTGAATATTATATAGCGTTACTGGAGTTTGAAGGCCGAAATTGCAAAGAAACGACCGCATATGGCAAAGAAAAAAATTTTGTTTCATCAAGACAACGCACTTTGTCACAAGTCAATCAAAACAATGGCAAAACTACATGAATTGACCTTCGAATTGCTCCCACATCCACCGTATTCGCCAGATTTGGCTCCCAGCGACTATTGGCTGTTCGCAGACCTGGAAAAAATGCTCGCCGGTAAGAAATTTCGCACGAATGAAGAGGTTATCGCTGAAACTGAGGCCTATTTTGAGGCAAAAGATAAATCGTTCTACAGAAGAGGTATTGAAAAGTTAGAGCGGCGCTGGAATGATTGCGTTGCTCTTGATGGAGATTACGTTGATGATTAAAGCTAATTTTGACCAAAAAAACTGTGTTTTCTTTGTTAGGCCCGGGACTTTTCAGCCCATGTGTTATATATATTATAGCCTGTCCTGAAATCCTTAGCAAGAACATCTTTAGATTTTTTCTGTTTTTGTAACTTTAATTTGGCATAAAAAAATATCCAAATTTCAGATGTCTTAACGCCAAAGAAAAGAAGTTTCGTTTAATTTACTACGGATCAGAAAGGAACGAGTCGCGGGTCGGAATGAGACAAATGTTTAATAAATGTATAAAACCCCGTCCGGTAAGGATATTAGTAATAAGAACTACATAATGTAATCAGGCCACTATCAGTGTTTTCAAATGATACTTGTATTGTCAATGAAATATGACATGATAATGAACACTTCTGTAAAAAATTAAGGAAGCAAAAAAAAATTGTAATTTTTCAGTGATTGTTGAAAGACCATATTTCTGTGGAAAATGATCATATCAAGCTCGTTAAGAACGCATATTGAAGCTCAAAAATCTTAGTTTTCAGATCTCTTGGCCAAAACTTTTTAGAGGCAACAGTTATCGATTATTTCAGAGGAAAAGCGCGAAAAAAAAATTAGAGAATTTTTTTACAATAAAATTATTTTTAAGACTTGATAGCTATTTCTTCTGCTTCATTTTCCTTTCTTAAATTTTTCTCTACAATGATTTGTTCCGGAGATATCTGACTTTAAATGCAAAAGCATCTTTTTGGCTTGATATTAAATTATTAATATTTTTAATTTCAACAACCAATCATCGGACAGAAAATTGAAGGGCAGTTCCAAATTCTGCAATAAATTTCCTACCAGGTTTGCGTATCTCCGTTAAGAAAAAAATCTTTAATTCTGACATGAAAAAAGTGAAAAAAGTGACTTTTTTTCTTGTTCCGAAAATGCGCATCTATGCGAATGTTGATGAAAGGTCTAATGTTTGTACGAATCTTAATACCCCGCTGTACCCCTAACAATCCTGCAAATAAACAGATCGAGCGATCAAATGGTTTTTCTAAACCGTTTTGAACGTAGCCCTGTACTCTGCACTGATGCCAGGTGCGAGAGAGAAAGCTGCCGAGAGGCCCCCTCTTGTTGTCTTTTACTAATCAGGCGAGCATGGGCAGTGCAGTGCTCTTTATGGATTGGAAATCGATACTTCGAAATCGAAATAGAGCTTTGTTTGTACCTTCAATATAATCAAGAATGACGTTGTTAACTTTTGACTTAAATATACTTATACATGTAACAATTTCAGGGCGAAGTAGTCTATAATATTATCAATGAAGCTTCAGTAGATGAATTGAACACACGATTGAAAAGCATTAAAGTGAGTGAGGCCAACTTTAGACCCATGTTTCTGCTATCAGGAGCTAAGCCATACGACGAAGAGAATTGGAAATATGTTAAAGTTGGAGAAAATATATTTGAAATTATAAAACCTTCCACGCGGTAAATTCTATATCTATTTATAATTTAAAAAAAAATGATTTGCGAGGACCCAATACATTTTTAATTTTTTTTAGGTGCGTATCGACCGCTATCGATCCCGAGACTGGAATGCACATCACAAACATGGAGCCAGCAAACCTGTTGAAAAGGTAACTTACTTCAGTACTAGTAGAGATAGCAACATATTTTTTTAAATTGGATGAATTACAGGCATCTGTTCATCATCAACTTTTTAGTTTATTTATTTATATCTTTATTGTTTACAGTTAACACATAAAACATTACAAATATATAGACGTAACAATCGGCGGTCTTATCGCTCACGGCGACCTCTTCCAGACAATCTTAATACGGATATTAGTTATTTAAAAGTTGGGTAGTTTACGTAGTAAGCGGGCAAGGTTTTAGCTTGTCGGATTGTCAAAGGCAAGTTGTTCCAAAGTCTTACTTCTTGCACAGTAAAAGATTTGTCTGCAAACTGGGTGAAATGTTGTGGCATTTTTAGTTTTAAATTTTCTGATGACCTTAGGTCCCTGCAATGTGTGTTGTGTAAGAACTGAAAACGTTCTTAGAGATAAGAGGATGTGTGGGGATGGAACAGAACACTGTATAAAAGAAAAAGAATATGAAGATGCCGGCGAAAGCGTATTGGTAGCCACTTGAGTTTAGAACGATACTCTGAGATGTGATCATATTTGTATAATCCAAATATGAATCTAATACATAGGTTTTGGAGTCGCTCAAGTTTATTCAGTTGGTCTTCGGTGAGATCCAGATAGCTGACATCGCCATAGTCAAACTCAAAACAGACTCAAAACTATGGTCCTTTCCTCAAAAGGCCTATCCAGACCCTATACTGTACTCGCACAGTTTTATTTAACTTTGTTTACGGACTTTAAAAAAAAAGACACCTCTGTGGTTTGTTTCGGCGTTTCTTCCCAGAGTGAGTCTTAGGAAATGCGGGCTCCTTCTAGCTATAAAGTCCGACTTGTAAAAATATCTGAAAAGATTTACTTACAGAAATAAATATCATTTATCATTTATCACGGATAGGAAGAAGAAGATATTGTGCGAGCGCAATTTTAGTATAGGTGGGAAGGAAGTTCCGTAGCCTTCGCAGAGATCCTGCCGCTGCAAATAGTTTGCAGCTGACTTCGCCAAACTGAGGGCCCCAGGATAGGTACCTATCCTAGGGCCCCCAGGATAGGGTTAAACTTAGGGATCTATATAGGATATATAGATCCCTAAGTTTAACAAAACGTAGGTAACCAAATTTCACAGTTTTTTTAAATCGTCTTATAACTTTCACATCTCACATTAAGTAAACAGTCACCGAACGACGTCTCTCAGCTATAATATATTAATCTTTTGTTCTCGTGGGTCGGCCGACTCGATATTTTTTAACACAATCCGGCTCGTAGGACCAAATGTTTAATGTTTAAGGATTACTTTAGCTCGACTATTGATATTTTTAATACTGTAAAAATTCAAGCAAAGTCTCATAGGTAATTATTTATTGTTCTTGTAAGTTAATCTACCTTTTTAAGAAACTATAGAAATGTCTTTATGTTAATTTACTATTTATAAGTAATGAATAAGTTATCCAAACACATATTTTCATCTGCATCGTTTAGTTGAGCTTTATACTTATAAAATAAACATGTGCATTATCAATGTTATTCTAATGCCCTGCCGAACTGAGCGAGCTCTGTGTTAGGTTGGTACTACTTACTTGAAATGTTTACATCTTACAAGTCAGAGAGTGATGAAAAGTCGTTCGGTTATACAATTGTTATATTATTTAGATTTGTTAAGAGGTTTTTTGTTAATTACGTGTTAAATGTACGTATAAATATATCTTTAAGTTTTATTTTGTTGAAATGTAGTTAAAAAACTCTGTTCTTTGGCGGGCGGAATGTCCAAATTGATTAGAGTTTTGTATGGTATAAACTATGTATATGCTTTGTATATCTAAACATTTACAGTCCACTCTGTGTCGAATGATTGAGTTTAGTTACACATAAACCTACGTAATAACTACACGTCATTTTCATAAAAATATCAACAGTCGAGCTATAGTAACCCTTAAATATTAAACAGAACTTGAGTCTAAACTTGATTTGTGGGGTGTGGATTGTCACAAATGTTTGGCAAATACATAGTTAGAGAAGTTATGTACCTAATCTTTACCATACCGTAGGAGAGCCTTGTTTCAGCACATATCAGCCGGCTCTACCGCAGTGATACCACGGCTTCACAACAGACCGTTATTAGGCTATTCTTTCGTTATTATTCACCAAGTGACTAGGTCCTATCTGTGTGGTGACCCCAGTGGGTGTCGTAAGAATCGACTAGGGGAACAACCTACTCAGGACAACATCACTGTAAATAGACTGCACGGATTTGACTGATTTGACTGCACGGATGGCGTAGTGGTTTAAGCGGTCGCCACGCCGCTTCCTACTACGCCGAGTGTTGTGGGTTCAAACCCCACATGGGACGACACTTTGTGTGATCCACAAATTGTTGTTCTGAGTCTGGGTGTTCTTTGTGTCCGTTTCATGTATGTTTGTAAAGTCCCCGCGTCACAGGATTTATTCCTAATGCGGGAGTTGTCTTTTAAAAAAAGAAAAAAAAAGAAAAGAAAAAAAAAAAAAGAAAATAGAAGGAATACCTGACACAAACCTTTTTTTTTTTTACGTGTGGAAATCCCCTCGGACCGTCACCCCGCCGGGGCTCTCGTTCGGCGGGGCGGTGTGGCGGACTCGAACCGACTAAAACCACACGGTGTGCCCTCTTTGCGACCTGACACAAACCTTATACCAACCTCTGACCAATGTCCAGCAATGGTCTATTACAGGCTGTTGATGATATGAGTAAGTGAGGTTGGTCAACCCGAGGTGAGGCTTAGTTGTCTAGCCCTCTCTTGTTCCAGGGGGAATACACACATGGTGGCAACGCACTCTTATCTCTTGAGTTGTAGGTGTCCATGGGCGACGGTGGTCACCATCAGATGACCCGTTTGCTCGTTTGTTGTCAAATTAGGTAAAAACATTTTACAGAACCTACAAGAAAAACCATACCTGCATGCTATTTTCTCAATTGTCCAAGGTTATCTAAAAATAATCTTAACTTATATTTTGACAGTCGCCGTGGTTGTGCAGATCCAGAAATGCGAAAATTAATAGGAGACCTGCCGTGTATGGGCGTACAGATGGTCCTTCGTAGTCATCCCGGCGGCGGTCCAATCTCTGTCAACGATCCTATTTATGTTACATATAAACTAATGCATTAAAAAACATTATGTACTTAACCTATGTTGCGAAAAGGAACTAATAAGTTTTGGTTATGAAATATTGTGATTGTCACGACGCGACGCTCAGTCTAGGTGTAGTTTATCTACGAGTATATGTATTTACTTAGAAATATATAAGTATGTTCATCGGGTTCATCGGTCAAGTTATGTTGCTCGGTGCTGCCAGCCTACCATTCAAAGGCTCCAAAGGCAATGACAGCCATTATCACCAATGCAAAAATAATAAATTATTTATTACTTTTGCATTACGATTACATCTGAAGCCTTTACCTTAAGTGAAACACAAATCAAGAAAATGTCCCTTATAAAAAAATATTAAATTAAATATTCAAGACGATTGTTGTTAATCTGAATTAATTTCATTCTTATTTCTTATTGATTGCCGACTAGTTTCGGCCCCGATATACCCGAAAAGTCCCCCACCCTTATCAAGGAGTGAAACGACAGCGATGTACGATCTTCGGTTACCAAAAAATGTTGGAAAAATCTATTTTTTTATATATAGTAGTGATAAGAATAAAGTGGCGGCAGGTTATTGAAACAATATACGATCCCAGGATTTCTATCAAATTGAAAGGACTAATTTATAAGACGATCAACAGACCAGCTATCCTATATGGATCGAAATGTTACGTATATGGCTAGAAAGGATGTAAGCAGTAAACTGAGTAATAACTAAGGAGCCTTGAGTTATAATTTACTACGCTAGTAATACTAGTTCAATGCCAAGGAGACTGTTTTTGTGTGTAATCCAAATAATTTTGGGAAAAGAACATGATAATGAATATAAGTAGGTATGACTGACATGTATTTTAGTTATGAAACCTTCGCTTTGTAGTGTTTTAATTCAGTTTGTTGATCGCTTATGTGTCACTGACCCTGGCAGGGCCATCATGGATTTTAATTTTGATGACATAACAATTTAGTCGTTAAATGTATGTCAAAAACTAGCGAAGATCTGTTTTCGCCCTAATTTAGTCGTTTATTTATAGTTTGGACTTATGTGTGCTATATTTATATTAACACCAAAATTCGTGACATCAAAATCTTTTTGGCTGTAGACTCCTACCATTACCATCATTGATGTGTCAAGGGAAAAATCGATAATTGAGACAATTACTACTTACGTAGGTACTAACTCTACACTGTACATGCGCCGATATATAAATTCGCTGTAAATAATATTGTTGTTGCTGCGTTAACTAACTTTCGTGTACATAATTACATTGCAATCTCGTTTCTCCTTTTTTACAATCTTTGTACATATCTATCTAGTACTAATCTACCTTGTGACTGTAAATATATACATACTTGTACATACGAAAAGGCGTTTCTTACTTCTTAGGGCTTTGGCTATTTTAAATGTTTTTAACGCATGGGAGAATTTGTTGTGGCAATATTTGTAGGAGTAGGCATTGCTAATAGACTAAAGTTTCATCATAACAGGAGACATCAAGGTAATGGGTACAGGAATGTATTGAAAAAAAAACAAATAAAGTAAACTATTGTTATATATTTTATACAATAAATCTACTTTGTAGACCATCACAATCTTTTCTCTAATATCACATTCGTTTTAGTTCTTTCAGAAAATCCAAAAGTAACCACTAACATCGCCTACAGTATTTTTTATATTCTTTTTATTTTTAATTTATTTTTATATTGAAAGACCTGTTTTCAAGTGATAACAAATACTTTCAAAAATATAAGTTTTTTTTAATTTTTGGCACACATCATAAAAGTTGTTTCTTTACAAAGTCTTTCACCAAAAACGATTCACTTTTGTAATTGAATAGAGCTAACTCGTACTCATAAAAAATTAAATTGGTACTACATACACAGGCACTTTAGATCATTTACAATAAAAACAGATCATCAGTTTATTTTATGGCGTCGGGGGCAAAAGAGGAGTCGGCTCACCTGATGGTGACTAACACCCCCATAAACGTGGGTCCCTAGTCCCCCTCCTCTCCTCCCTAATCAAAGAGGGGGGAAAGTGCAGTAACCTTAACTCGCTGAAAAGCAACGAAATCAGTTCCAGAAAGACGGCGCCAGACCTATTTTGTGCCCTCTGGCATAAAATAGGTATTGTGGTATAATGCAGACTATTCTTAAATCATAAGAGAGTTGAGGAACACATTTCGATCGAATACCGATGACGTTAAACCGTCTTCCCTTAACCATAATTTAATTTAGCCACAAAAACTAAGAAATAATTACTAAGACAGCACATTATTTACAAGCTTTTAATTTTGATGTATAATTAGACTAATAAATATAATAACTCGTATTACGACCATAGTGTATTACATTTTTTATGCGCTGATAATTTTGCTGTTATCGTAGCGTGACTGTAACAAATTGTAGTTTCTAAAGTGCACACATAACCACCAGATAAATACCTAAGTCCGTTGAACACGTAAGGTTTAGATTATAGCAATGATGTTTTTAGATAATATTATTTATACTATATATAAAAACGCACGACAATTTAACAGTGAAATTATATTTCAATAATAAAACTTAATAGGTTGAATTACTGTAAAAAATTAAATGTGAATACAATACTTTTCTGTTTCTTGATTCGTAACCTAAAACTCTGAGTATATGACTGCATTCATCCTCTGAGCCCTTTTCAAGGTTAGATCCGCTTAAGTCTGCTACAATTCGGCTAAACTTCGATATTTTTACATGGAGCGACTGCCATCATACCCAAACAAACCAAGTACTCGGTAATATCGAAGTTTTGTAAAAAGACTGTTAGGTTACAGGAGTGATACATCCTAAGATTTTGAGTTAAATTGATAGTTCCAACCTGTGCATTTATTGCTAGTTTAAAATTGCTTTATAAAAATGCAATCATGCAACATTATAGTAACTTAAAAGTTTATTTTCCAAATTAGTTACAACAACTGCTCTAATTTTAGTTAAAGGTATATAACCTTGACCTTCTCTAACCATTATTGACAGTCCCCAATTAATCCCTATTAATTATCCCGGCCTCTCAGCCTGACTTTTTGACGTGGTGAAACGAAATTTTAGTTGGCCTACTGTGGGTGTATAATAATTCTCTGATACATGACATGACATAAGCGTGTCTGACATCTTTATTACTTATTAACATAATAATACGTTGTACTCTCTTATATGTAAATCTTGTTACTGTTTAATAGTTACTAAGTATATACTTTCCATAAAATATATGTACTGTAGAAATGTTCCAATAAAGCTTCATTATATTCAAAGAGTACATGTTATTAACTTTTATCAATAACCTACTGTTATTATAAGACCTTATTGTGTCTCTAAATAAATTTATTTCTTTCATTTCGTGAATTTTAGTATAGAAGTAAAATCATAAAAATAAAGTTTATTATTCCCTTGTCCCAACTTTATTATTCACGCCTACAATACATACGTCAATTTAGTCGAGCCAATAAATTTTGTTTCACCATGTTAATGACGTTAGCTTCGCTATAAGCATCAATAACTGCTTTCGTTAAACACAATCCTGTTGTAGAGCCGTCTATTTCGTCATCACAAAGTGGTCTATCTCTATTCACGTAATCCTTGAGATTCTGTTTTATTAACTTAACCAACTCTTCAGCTGTAATCAAAGCAGCATTTTCCAGATTGTTCGATTTATCATCTATTAAAGACTTTATATCGATGTCTTCGACTTCAGTCGGTATGGATTCATCTTCGCGAGTTCTCTGTCTCTTCGCACGTCGAAGTTTGCGCCTGTTGTCTAAGTACGCGTTAGCTACTGTGTCTAATTGTAAAAATAGTACTGACAGTGGCGTATCGGCTATATCATCCTGAAAATAAATATTTTTATATGTAAAACTAATATGTAGCAAACAATGAGATTCTGGCTGACTCGTTGTAGAAATACAACATTACTCCGGCATGCTGTTGCCCCTTATATTATTATTTAATATTACAATAACAAAAAGGATATAATAAGTTTGCAGACGCACCATCAATTACATCATCACACACACAGAATATTAGGTATATTTCATTCATTCGTTTCATAAACTAGATTGTGAAAGAAGTACGTAAACATACTGTATTTATCAACTCTCTGCAACCTAGATAGACTCATCAAAACATTTCGCAGACTCATTACATTTAAACAAGAACATATATTTTTACCGCCTTAATAAAAATCATTAGGTACTATAAAACAAATGGTTCCTTTAATATGGTATTTGTATTATGTAAGACGTACATTAGGTAAATTGCTTATGCGAGTATGTAATCGAAAAATGAAGGAAACGAATATGTTATTAGGTATCTTATTCTAGATGCGAAATAAGCAGTCCTGATTGGTACTAGTGCCGGAAACAGTGAACAATAAGAAAATCTTATGTTTCATATTTTTTTTACGTTTTTAAACAAATAATAGAATAACAGTTCAAAACAATACACGAACAATATGCATATACATGAAATAAAAAAATAGAATTAAGTCTACGGCTAACTTGTTTTAAATGTACCTACATAATAATTTTAATAAATCACGGAACGCGAAAGTTTATAGTTCTTAAAAACGAGGTTTGGGTGATTTTAGTAGGTACGAGGGGTGATCAATAAGTAATGATAATCAATATGAAACAGAACTATTACATTAAAAAAAGTATTTTATTTTTCAACATAGTCTCCTTGCAAGTTAATACATTTAGTGTATCTTTTTTCTAAGCCCATGATTCCCTTAGAAAAAAATTCTTTGTCTTGACCCTCCCAAAATGCCTCTACTGCGGCCATCACTTCACTATTGTCCTCAAATTTGTTGCCTCGGAGGTGTTCTTTGAGCCGAGGAAAGAGGTAGAAGTCACTGGGAGCTAGATCTGGCGAATAGGGAGGGTGTTCTAGCAGTTCGAACCCCGTTTCTTCAATGGCAGCCATCGCAACTGCGGCTTTGTGAGCCGGGGCGTTGTCTTGGTGAAACAGCACTCCAGCGCGCAGTATACCGCGTCTTTTTGACTTAATAGCTTCTCGCAATCTTCTTATTTGGCCTGCGCAGTGAGAGCCTGTTATAGTGGCCCCCTTTTCCAAATATTCCACCATAATAATTCCTTCTGCATCCCAGAAAACAGACGCCATAACCTTTCCCGCTGAACTTGACACTTTGAATTTCTTCGGCGTTGGTGAGGAAGCTCGTTTCCAAGTCATTGATTGTTGTTTGGTTTCGGGATCAAAGTGGTGGATCCAGGTCTCTTCCTTGGTCACAAAACGCGACAAAAAAAATTCTTTATCGGCCTGGAACTTTTGAAGATTCACCCTCGAAATGTCGACTCGTTTCTTTTTTTGCTCGTCGGTTAACATTCTCGGTACCCTACGCGCAGAGCCCTTCTCATATGCATTTTGTTGACAATGATTTTTTGAACGCTGCCATAGGAGATCCCTGTGACCTCAGCTACATGCCTTACGGTCACCCTTCGATCGGCCAACACGATATCTTCCACTTTTTTGACGTTTTCTCCAGTAAGGGACGTGGAAGGGCGTCCCTCGCGATGTTCATCTTCAGTGGAGGTTCTGCCCAGCTTAAATTCCTTTTCCCAGCGTGCGACTGTGGAATATGGAGGAGCAGACTCCCCCAATGTTTCCTCTAAGTCGCTGTGTATGTCTTTGGTAGACATTTTTTTCAGGCAGAGGTACTTGATGACAGCTCTTATTTCATTTTTCTCCATTTTGATGTTTTCTCTTCGACAGTTCGTATTCAAATGAATGTATCTCCCATTAATGGTGTCCTATTTATACATTTTTTTAAAGCTGAAGTAGTGGATATATAAGCAAGCAGAAAAAAAATAATTTGGGTTTTTGTGCGTTCTAGAAATACTCGATTATCATTACTTATTGATCACCCCTCGTGCTTGTGGTACGAAAATGATTTCTTAAACCGGTTCCTCACGCTTTAACATCCTGCTTACTCAAAAATTCGCCTTCACAGAACATTTTCTACCCATGTCGTATAGCGTCATATTATAACTCGTATGATGACACTATATTCTGTCTAAAGGTTGCGCGTATGATATCGCAGACTGACATAATGTTGCCATTTGCAATACTGATGTTTCATATTCATGGTGTAAAAAAAGAGTATTTATCTTTCTAACTTGATTTATAGATAATTGGCAGGTACACATGCAATATCCAGGAGTAGGATATCTAGGCGGCCATTTATAAACGGTAGATGTCCCGCGCCCGTCAGGGTACCAACGATTTCCTTTCTAGGTAGCTACCCGAGACGAGAGGTTTTAGTCAGCCGTGCGGTGAGGGGTATCTGAGGGGATATCAGGACAACAAAAGGGGTAAGACAGGCATATATTATAAATTACTAGCTAGATATATTAGAATTTACTTAGCCTTTACAACAAGTAAATATAGCGATTTTATGTTATATGTTTATGTATCAAACGAGCTTTTTGATCAAATAGATAAGATCGATGAAATAGATCTTGCATCTAACAATAAGTGATGTCAGATATTTAGTTATATTTGATTTGCATATTTGAAGGAATAAATCATCTTTGGTCTCTAGTTTAATAAAAAAAACATATAAATAAGTATTACGCACGAATATATAAATTTGCTAATCTTTACTAATTTAATGGTTTGTTTGGATTCACGCACTAAACTCAGGAACTACTTTGAATTGAAAATTTATTTTAGTGTGGGATAGCTCATTTATCGAGGAATGCTATAGGCTATATAACATCACGCTACCACCAATAAGAGCCGAGCATCAATGAAAAACGGAAGAAAATAATTCATTTTGAGATACGCAGTTGAAGCTGCGCCGGTAACTAGTCTGACAATAAAACTCAGACTATATTGGTTTGCTTTGCATAAGTAAGCGCAATAAACAAAGAAGATTATCTTCCGTATTGAAATGCTTGAGTAATCAAGGCCTTAATAATGTGTAACAAGGACATGTTATGAGTTTTTTTTAGGTCAAGTAAGTTTATTGTAGATCGAAGCTACAGTCATAGACGGTCGTGGTGTGAAAACTCATCTCAAAATATGATAACATCGATATTGGAAACACACTACTAGAAAAACAATAAAGCATAACGGTTTATTACCCATAAGAAAATCATAACATATGACCTATACGACCTAATTTAACCACTACAGGGCACCATAAACTAATGTGATGTCATTTAATGATCTCATTGATGTTGTAATCTTCTGAAATATTACTAAGAGCAAAAGAGTACAATATTAGTCATGAAATTATGTATGTATGTTAATAAATGGCTTGATCGTACTTAGGCAATCATTTAATAAAAAAGTATTTTGTAAGTCAAATACACTGAATAGGTTTTTAGCGTCTGTCCAGAGCATATCTCTTCTATCTTTTACCTACTTATGTGTGATGAATAATGATGGGTTATTCGACAAACATTTGATAAAATTAAAAGAGGTCAACTCTTTATTAGCAGTAGAAGCTGTTCGAGTACCATGGTGCCCTTTTTTTGGTGCGGAAATCCCCTCGGATACCACCCACCACACACAACCCACATCCCACGAGGTGGTGTGGTTATGTCGGACTCGAACCGACTTAAAACCGCACGGCGTCTCGGGAACCAGTAGCCGAAGAACCAGGTGTACCCTTGAAAGGAAATCGGGACTTGTAGATGACCCCCTACTGTGTGGGAAACCCGATGTTTCCTTCCTACACTCTGGTGTCCTACGAATTAACTTTAACATAGGAGACATGGTGTATTACATCAAACAAACTCATTACTCTGACAGGAAGCAGATATTTTTTTATGACAGAGGGGGCAGGCGACCAGACGTGTCACCTGATGGAAAGTAACCATTGCCGCCCATATAAACATCTGCAACTTAGGAGTCACAAACGCGTTGCCTGCCTTTTAAGAAAGAGTACGCTCTTTTCTTGAAGGTCGTATCGGTCCGGAAATATCGCAGACGATTACCCGTTCCACAGATTGGTTGTGCCAGGCAAAAAGTGTCTCCATGTTCATTACAGCGGCTTTATTTTTTTAAGTTGTTGTTTGTTATTATCAAATATTACAAATACGTAAGGTAACTGTATACAACAACTTAATTTGAAAATTGTGAACAAGACATGCGCACCGCCCTCTTTGACTAAGTGAGGGGCAGCACTTCTGTTCTGCTCTCACTTCTCTTTTCTGTCGTGTTATACTACCTTATTGTTTTTTCAGCACACTCTCGGCTAATCGATAGTAAACCACGTGACCACACCCATCTCGGCAAAACATTAGCCGAATACTTCAACAAACAAATACCCTCCAAATTTTTAATATCTATTTAAAATTTAAATTGTCAACTGTGTATTATATTTGTATACATAGAAATAGAACAAGATAATAATATGTATATATATAGACAATCACTATAGGGATGTATAATTGGATATAATTAGCAAGTAATTGCCATTCATATTAATTCAAAACTAAAGTCATTATACTTGTAATAATAATGCATACCTCGTTAGGATTAATTATTAACTTCGCGGTTTCCTGGGGAAGATCCTTGCATATTTGCGCTACAAATATTTTAATCAGAGCTTCAGAAACTCGTGTTGAGCCATCTTTTTCCTGTTAACAATTTATGAGAAAACAAAAACTCATTATACTAATAAACTATTAAATCCGGATGCATGCTAACATTATTATTTGAGCATATATAAAAACAGCCACATAAATACTTTTTCTTGAGGCTGATATAAAATAAAACATCAAACAACACTATTAAAATTACCAATCTTTAGAATAAATTTTGAATATAAACGAATTGAAATTTGAAAATAAACGAATTAAATTTTAACATACATGAGGTAACCAAATATTCAGTGCTATATTTATTGGATCTACGTTCTGTACATAGTGCCACCAGCCTCTTGGTACTAGAAGAGCATCACCAGCGGATAGCTCCACCATACGGCCACCTGTCAAACCTAGAAAAAATTAATAATATTTGTTTAGGGTAGCAGAAATAGACGGGTAATGGAACGCGGAGCACCGACTATAGCGGACATTGGGAGAGGCCTATGTCTAGCAGAGGACAGGACAGGACACTGTTATTGATTCATTACATTACTTAACTTTTTTCTTAGTCTGACAGTCTGAAAACAAAACTGAGTATTAAACAAGTTAAATGACAGAGTACAATGTTTTATGGAACACTATTTTCCAAATGAACCTGACCCTGACTTAAACAAAAACAAATAAAGTAAAACCAATAAAATCTGATAATTACATTAAATTGATAAATGAACTTCTTAGCTTTATTAAATACGCATATTTATGTGTTTAAACAAATTAAGTTTTGCTTGTTTTACTTTTAAAATTCTGTATACTTCAACACAAGATATAAATACTACATGCCAATGCAGATGACGACAATAGGATGCGAGTCCTTTTATGTCAATCGAACACTTTTTGACACTAGGGCTACTCTTCTATTCCCCGCCAGCAATCATTGCTGCCATGCTGGCGGGTGAGGAGGGATGGGGCGCAGTGGTCTCTTTCTGTGAAGCTGTAATGCTCCAGAAAGAGACCGCTGAACGGGATCGGGAGAGGGCCGATCCCGAGCGTAGAGGACGTCGGCGACCATACCAGCCGCCGACGGGGCCGCGGGCCGCCAGAGAGTGGGGACCTCTGGTCGCTGATTGAATGTTGAGGTAGGGGATAGGATGGCGGCCTGATTGCATTAAGACGAAATTGGGCCGCCACGTCGCGATTGAGGGGGGAAGTGATTTTCCCCTGGGATAGGGCCTGACTAGGCACGGTGTCAATTCGGGGAGGACCTGAAATAACATGGTCCAGGTCCTCCCAGAGTAGGGCACCTGAGGCCCTACTGGGCCGTCGGGGTGGTTTTCAGTGGAATCACCACATACTCCTAGCTCTTAGCCCCGAGGAGCAGGAGATCCGAAGGGATTTTCCACCACGTCAAAAGAAAAAAAAAGGGCTACTCTTCTACACACATAATAAATATTATATATAAGTCATACGACATAGTTGTTTTTACTACACGAGCGCCGAACGGTAAGTCACGGTTGGGAGAAAGGAGTAACCCTATTTTTTGCTAATGAAACAAAATTTATTTATTACTGTTGCAACAGTATTTACCTTAAACTTGAACCTCTTTTACCATTTTAAGCCGCAACTCGCTTTTTTCTCAATACAAATATTTATATGCATTAATACACATGTCATTTTGCATTGGTCTGGATATTTTAATTTAATCTATAAGTATATAATTACTTATTATTCGTGTGAGAACGGATTAAAACTACGGTGCAAAGAGAACGAAAACTTAAAAAACACAAACTAGCCAGCGGGGTATCACATCAACAGCCTTTAATAGTCCACTGCTGGATATAGGCCTCTATTTAGAAAAGAGCTTTTGGCCTACTATACAACGCTGACTAGACGGGTTGGTGTAGGGTTTGTTTCAAGATTTCCTTCTCTTTTCGATGCTGTTGTCCTGCATAGTTAGTTCCCTTAGTCGGCTCTTACGCCACCTATGGGATGTATAGGGGTGGTGACACTCCGTATTCTTAATCCGTCACCGCACGGATATAAGAAATACGGGTAATAAGTATAGTAGGCCAAAACCTTTCTGAGGAGAGGCATATATCCACCAGTGGCTTCTTTGTATTGATGATGATATAAAAATACTGACTGATTCATCAAAGCAGAGCCTAAACCGTTGCGATGCTTTTGCTGTGATGCTTTTTATGTTGTAAGCACCCACTAAAAAAGTTTTTTTTTGGAAATTTCACTCCTAAGGGGGTAGAATAAGGGAAGAACTAATCACGCGAGCGAAGCCGTGGACAATAACTAATATAATATGTATTTAGAACTCATAATACAAGCTCTGTTTAGTTTGGGTTTTGATAGCAAATGCATAATCTGTCCCAAGATATGATATTAGATTCAATACAGGTGGAGGAGCCTTGTGGAATCTTTTGGTATTTTTCTGAGACAGTCTAATCAAATCTGGATCTGGATCTATTATTTATCAGAGAGCATGACAACACATCCCAATTAGTGTCATAACATAACTGGAGTGACGCCAGTGGTGCCTTAGGCACATTGCGATGACCTTGGGAGGACGCAGAAATAAGCAAACCAGCGTAAAACAAATGTAGACGCATCTTACTATTTACGAAAATGAAAACAATGGGGTACAATTACAGAGGCGTGCACCAGCTGATCCCAACATGGTTTAACACTAAGCAATAAAGTCATAATCAAATCAAGTTCATTAACAATCTGTAAATGCATACTAACACTGTATTCGTTTATAATGCTTAGTTTGACAGCTTTAAATTTTTATTAATTTTGACATGAGTACATTACATATTAGGTTTTTCCCTATGAAGTTGTAGATTTGTTTGCAAATTTTAAAATATAAAAATTCTGGTATTTTTTTTTATTTTTGCTAATCAAAGTACTGCATCAAATTTCTAATATATATCTATACTATTTTGTCATTTTGAAAGCAGTTTGTTTATCACATTACTGTAGAAGTTTGCTGGACGGGAGGTGATGAAATTAGCGAAATCGTGATGCACTGCATCTTGGATGTTAAATTTTTTCCCACTCAACAAACTCTCATTTTTGAAAAAGTAGAAATCTGTTTCGGCAAGGATGAGTGAGTACGGTGGGTGACGGACAGCTTCCATCTGTAACTCTTTGTAGCTTTGCGATGGTCTGTAGTGAAGTTGAGTTCGTGGTTATTGAATTACGAGCTTCTCCATCATCGTTTGTAATTCTTGGCAATAGACATCTGCCGTCACTGTTGTGCCATTCGGTAAGAAGCTATAATGTTCAAGACCTTTGAATAAAAGCTTTTTTAAAGCACTGATTAGGTGCTGTAACCAGGTAACAACTACTGAAACGAACGCTTACGGTTGTCTTACAGGATCCACTTTTCATCGCAGATAACAATCATCAATTCATCGTGGTCGACTATAACCGCCAGCCGACCGCGAGGCTCATACTTCAAGGCAATATTTCCAGGTCTTTAATGACGTCGGTATGACAAAAACTACTACAATTTCACAAAAACGAAAAACTATCTAAAACAAATACTGAATTTTACATTAAAATAACATAGTTTGCTAATAAAATTTATTTGAATTTCGAATTGAGTGCCAATCCAGAGACAATAAAATTTGAAAAAGCTGATTTAAAAAAACTCGCTCTTTACAGATCAAGATCATCAGGATTAGTAGATTTTCAATTTTTGTTCCAACATTGTTGTTGTAAAACCATATTATGCAAATTAAATTAAATGAATTGAAAAGACTAAGAATGCTAACTTAAGGAGGACAAGAAATCTTACATTGAAGTGATCCTATATTTAAAAGGTGGATGAAGCTCCACACTGTATAAAATACTGTATTTAAATTATATTGTGCATCTTACTAACAATAGTTTTATTTTATTGTGAAATATGTATATATTAGTGAAATTTCCGTGTGGTGACGCTTTCTGTGTGGTGACGGTTTCCGTGTGGTGACGGATTAAGAATACAGAGTGTCACCACCCCTGTTCATCCCGTGGGTGTCGTAAGAGGCGACTAAGGGAGCGAAATACGCAGGACACCAGCACTGCAGAGAGAAGGAAAACTTGACACAAACCCTATACCAACCCGTCTGGCCAGCGTGGTATAGTAGGCCAAAACCTCCTTTCTAAGGAGAGGCCTATGTCCAGCAGTGGATTGTTAAAGGCTGTTGATGAGTGAAATATGTATACTAACAACTCTGAGGTTGTTCCGAAATAAACTTATTATTATTATTATATATCCGATTTTCTATCAAAGAGGTTATGTCTAAAACAGTGTCGTCCTGAAATATGTGCAAAGTAAACCCCATACTCACTATTGAAAACATCTAAATTATTAGGACAGTAGAAGTTCAGTTCACTGTACACACTCGACTCTTCATATGGCACTCTAGTGGGCTTTAGACCTCCAGTACCAGGAGGAAACAGTATCCAACGTTTTCTATAACAAAACATTATTTGCTTTACTATTTAAATTATTAATAAGTAAAAATAAATTTAAATCAAATGTTTTAGATATAAATATATTTTCCACAAATGGTGTTATTCATATATGAATAAAAGAAGAGAAGCCCAAAATCGATCTAAGTGGCGTGCAATGGGAGAGGCCTATGTCCAGCAGTGGACTGCAATGTATATATGAATGTATATAGTTTTGTTTATTTTATATTTGTACATACATTTGAGTTTGAGATAGGTGCATGAGATGCATGTGTGTGTATGGAATGTGTGTTTGTATGACATTTAATTTTCTTGGACTAAGTATGAGTTAAGTTTAAGCTTTTAATTTTACATCAGACATACTAGTCTCCAGTGTAGAAAAACCTGTAAGTTTGACTGGATATAATGCCCACAACAATAAGTCTGTCTTATGCAATGTATTTGCAGAAACTAAAAATAAATAAAATGTTACTTAATTTCAATTTCTAATTTCATTGTTAGTACTAGACACTCTTCTTCTAAATAATTACTCTTAATTTAGTTTCTAGGGTTTTAAGAACTTACTTTCCAAACAATTGGGTGACAATATTAACCCCATATGTATCCTGATGAGCTGGTGTATGAGCTCCACTACTGCCAACCCATAACGTCGCATCTGCAGCACCTTTGTCCGAGTAACCAAACTGCTTCCAACTTATATCCTAGAAAATAACATTAACTACCTAGTCAAATTTTCAAGAAAGTAAACTAAAGTTGCAGGCAGCCTAAAATAATAATTAAGAAGTACCTTGTACAGTTCATCATCAGTGTTAAACCACTGATAAACATATTTGTAGTCGAAATACATCCACTCGTCGCTTGCAGATGAATTGTCAACAAAACTCTTAAATGTCATATTTTTAACAGAACACCGTCTTTCCCAGCATGGTTCATCTGATAGGAAATCTTTTTTTAAACAACGAAATGGTATTTCCTTTTCTCCAAACACTGAACACCACTTTTCTACACTCCACTGACATATTGGCCAATTTTTAATGAAGCCTCGAAACACCAATGGTATATTGTGATTTGTGACTATATTGCGAATGATATCCTCGTTTAGTACAGACATTTATAAAAACATCTATATGAATATTAAGAAAAATTAAAAAAAGAGATAATCCTTTATCCAAACTTGTAAAGGCGGCAAAATGTTAAACCTCAGAGCTGAGATGATACACACTTAACTCAACCAAACACAAGTCAACAATCACGGCGTTGACACTTCATACATTGGCTTTTGACTCTAGGAGCAGGAGCTTGGGTATTCATAACGTAACCCCAGCAGAGGCCGCTAGTATGGGCCGATGACAGAACTGTCATGTGTATATGTCACAAATTTAAATGTCAAATAGTCTGTTACAGTTTTGAAGTTGATCGAAAGGTTTTGCGTTGATTAATTTCCGTAGCTTATTCTCTCAGTATTTAAAACTGTGATTACTAATATAAGTGCATTTGTTGTATAGAATATTTCAAAAATGCCGTTTATTTCATGCTGTATATCGTGTCAGAAGACGAAATACGATGTTACTTTGTTTCGATTCCCTCGAAATGAAACATTACAGCAAATATGGCTTAAACAAGTAGCACCTCATTATCAACAAGCCAAGCAGCTAACTCCGCAACAATTGATAGAAAGAAAAATTTGTATAAGGCACTGAACAAAAGTTTCTTATTGGAAATAAAAGGCTATATAATGCTAGCTCTACATTAATGTCTGAAGAAGAAATAACAACAAGAATACCAACAAATCCTGTGAATATAGAAGGTTAGTGAGTGGTTAAAATAATTGGTCATTGTATTTAAATTAATATGATGTGTTAAAGTTTCTGTGTAAAAGTAGTTTATAATTTACCAAGAGCTCTAGTTATGTTACAGAATGATTTTTGTTATATACCTCGCTGTTTTTAAATTTCAGTTGAAAGTGATCACACATATGCCAAATTAACTACTACATTAGATCACAATTATTGTAAGGGGCCCTTAATGAATACGACTTGTGCACAGCCAAAAAAAGTTCCTTTTGAAACAAATTAAAGGTTGGGCTCAGTTGATCAAATTGAAGCCCACAACATCGATGGAAAATATCACAACAAGAGGTAAGATAAATTAACATATTTTTAGAATCACATGCTTTGTTATCTATTTAGTAAAACAACTTTGTTCAGTATTAAGGCAGCTTTTGAACTAGAAAGTTTCCTACTACTACTACAAATAACTACATAACTGTATATGTGATACAAGTATACACTCCATTCAAGAGTACAACTGAAAACCCTATGTGGTTTTTTCCAAAGCCATATCATAATACAAAAATGTATTATTGACTAGTTTAAAACTATTATATAGCTATTAAAGCAAGTATTGAACAATTTTGGACAAAAATAATCCTTTAAGTTTCAGGTGTAAAAGTAATAGTAAATGTTTTTTGCAGTTAAGCAACAATAAAACACTACAGTTTTTATTGCTGTAGTAGTCCAAACAATAATTTTGTTTTTTTTTTGTAGGTCATCAAGCAGATGGAAGCCTGGTTAGCAGCACTGTAAGAAACACAGCGGATGCAGTTGAATTCTTTGACAAATTGTTTGATAGTTGCAATGGATCAAGAGGAGGCCAAGCTCCCGGAAATTGAGGGGCCCTGTGAAACTTAATTCACCACATGCAGTATTTTGGGCTGATGCAATTAAAACTATTAAAATTGATATATATATTAATCATGCTAGCAGAACACAAAAAAATTAAAAATGTTCCCACATTGGATAATGTGATGACAACCTTAGAAAGCCATTTAAGGTTAAAAGATGTCTTGTTTTCTAAAAAAGTTTTGTTCTATCATACAAGTAATTTCACCCAAGATCCCCTGAAAAACTTTTTTGGTAAAATAAGATCTCACAATTATGAAATAATAATCCAGATACATACACATTCGAAAACTCTTTCAAATCCTTGATTATGACCAATATGCTAAGTATTCATTCTAATTATGCAAATTGTGAGGATGATGTAGGGGCAACAATATTAAATCTAAAGTAATTGTTGTCCCCATGTCATTCATACCAAGCAACCACGATTGTAGAAAAAGAGCCAAATATTGTACAGAAGAATGCTGCAATATCAACTTCTTCTACTTTCATACAGGTTACATAATCAATAATGTAAGGGGTTTAAATGTATTAAATGCAAAAAAAAACAATGATTACAAAGGAGTTGACAAATGTGCATGAATTAACTTTGTATAGAGAACGAAAAAGTTTAAAAAACAAAAACTTAAAGTATCCCTGTACCCAATTATTGTAGCATTTTCTCAATTAATCAATGCAATAAACTAATACTTGGAACATAACTGCAATAAAAAATACGTATACAAGAATGTCAGACAAAAATATTTAGAAGAAATAAATTTGGAATGGTTGGGCTGTTCTTCCCATAAAGATCTATTAAAAGAACATTTTATTAAGATCATAACACGATTACAAATTTTTAATTGGTGCCGAGGCATCAACTTAATTTTGGGTGGAACAGTTCAAAGAAAGGTAAAATAGGCAAATTTAAGTACAGTTCAAAAATTAGACTACAACAAGTTTATGAAAAGCAGGAAATATAAGATTAAAAACTAAAAGTTGTTTCAATTTTTGTACCTTTTTAAAAATGATAAGAATAAAAAATAAGACTAATTTCAAAACGAGGGAAATCGACTTTTCGCATCACTATTTTATCGATATCGATACGACGATTTTGATGGTATGCACTGGCCTACGTTCGGCTCACTAGCGCCCCTAGCGGATCATCGTCATGAAGACTCAAACTCATATGAAATGACGTTTGTTCAGGAGGTGTCTTATCTGTACTATGTACATATCTCTTAATCTGTGTCAACAATAAGCAAATAAGTCCTCAAGTTCTGTTTAGATAGATGCAAGTTCATGCTCATCAGTGTTGCCAACCTCAAAAAACTAAAAAACAGTAACTCACCTATAAAAAAACAGTAGGTAAAGTGAAAAAGGGCAAATTTCATACTTACCTGATACAATTAAAACGATTAACTAATTTTATTAGGTAGTAATAACAAAAAACTAAATTCAAAGTAAAATTATTTTCCACTTTCATCCTCAATTTCCTCATCTTCAGTACTTTCAGACTTATTGTTTTTAAAATTATACATATTTTTGTTAAATTTCTTCAAATGAATAGCAATGAGTTATTTCGGATTTAGTGTGTAATGCTCCTTTAATAGTTGTAGTCGATATTCTGTTGCGTAATTTGGTTTGACGAATTTTCGTTAATTTGTAACTACATTACATCGCAGAAAGTAACCGAATGGAATAATCTAAATGTTTCCACGGAAACTCGCTGGGTGGAAGTATTCAAACACTTTCAAGCCAACAATCTTCAGCATGAAAACTTTTCTATTTTAATTGAATATATTTTATGTTTGCCTGCTACAAATGCTCCAGTAGAAAGAGTATTTTCTATGATGAACAAATTGTGGCCATCTGAGAAAACCCAGTTACAAATTTCAGTTCTAAAGGCGATGTTGATAATTAAAGTGAATATAAAAGAAACATGCTAAGAGTTTTATTCTTACTTAAAATCATCACCATAAAAAATAATCATATTAAAGCAAATTTGTTGCTCTGATAAATATAAATATAACTAAACGTTTCGGGTATATATATTTTTTAATTTGTAACTTTTAAGCTAACTGACTTTTTCTGAATAAATAACATTAAAAAAGTGTTTTTTTTTTTCATTAACTACCTGTTAATTAACCTAAATAAACCAATGTCCCGTTTTGAGTCAAAAAATAAATGGTCACGTTATGTATACCACATTTTCGGTCACACTTACACGCTGAACAAAAAAATAGGTCTCACCTTTAGTGCTTGTCTTTAACCAGCCTTTGAACCTTTCATCTTTAACACATATTTCACAATCTTCTTTTTAGGAGAACTTTTGTCAGTCGATGAATCACTGCTAATTGTATTATGGACGTTGTAAATATTATTATTCAATTTACACGGCGGAATCACAATATGTACTTTAATAATTCACTTGCAATATGTAGCCATAGAATCCAATATACGGTACAATACGGCTGTAACCTGTAGCTATCATTCTATTTATACACTGGGAATTCCCGTGTATAAAATATGACTGTCAATCACATAGATTGTGGTCGGGGAATTCCCTCAAATGCCGACAAGTGTAGATACTGCCATCTAGTGTCACTACATTATATTTGATAACTAGACATTTAAGTATTTATTAAAAAATATTTGCATAATGTAATGGGTGGCGCTGAACGCTAATTGAAAAACAGTAAAAATTAGGAATGAAACAGAAAACAGGGGCATTAACGTAAAAACAGTAAATCTACTGTTAAAACAGTAGGGTTGGTAACACTGATGCTCATGTCATTTTGTGACATTGTATTGTATCCATTTTACGCAGTTTCTTTTTAAATTAACTAAAAATGTGAAATAAAGAAATAAATCCGTGTTGGTTTCTAAATAAAAGTGCTTTTTTATATTTATTCCTCTTAAAAATTTGTTTTTAAATTACATACTGTTAAATAACTTGTATAAGTATACTTTAAAACTCAAAATTTAAATAAAAATAAAACGTGATTAATGCATAAATTGAAAAGTGTTATCAATTTATCATATACCCTGATACAATCAAAGCGTTAAAATCTAGTAAAAATATTATTCACACTTTAAATCGATATTCGTTTATTTTCATATTCTCTAGTACCTACTAATATTCTCAAATATGTAAAGCGGTGAATATTAGAGATGGCGATCTGAAATCGATTAATAGAAGAATCGATTTAAGGGCCAAAAAAAAAAATTCTTT